AGCAAGCGACAGGTATCAAAAGAAGTATGTAAGAATCTTCCGATTTACTACAGTTCTAGGCCGAAAGTCGTGAAATAGTTCGATTTTCACAATTTTCAACCGTTGGTAGCTGATAGCAACATTAACCGATTTCGATGAAATTTTCAGCATGTATATAATTAACATAAATCTACAAAACGTATTTTTTAATTTTTCATTACGTGCACAGATAAAAAAAAGTTATAAACAGTGACCTTCGCGATTCTCACGAATTGCAATTTTTTCAACATTTTTTATACACGTCATCCAGTATATTAATCCCTCTGACTTCTCAAAAAAAAAAACTCAAGTCGTTTGGTCCAATGTTAAAAAAATTTTACAACGTTCTAAAGAGAAGACATTTGTTCGAAGACATTTCTTCAAAAACGCACGAACTTTCCGTTCAGTCCAGTAGAAGAAATGAAACAATTGAATTGAGAATTAATACCACATCTCCTAATCGTCGGATTACCATCCGTTTCGTTCACTAGCAAAAGTTTTTAAACGGCAGAAGTTTGAAAAATACGGATCACTTGAAGTTAACATGTAAAAGTGACGATTTATTCTCGACGTGAAAACGTACCTTAAACAAGATTCGACCGGTTATATGAAAATAACGCAGGGAGAAAGGTACAGTAGGTTTATAAAGCGAGTACGCGAAATAAAATATCGCCGAGTTTAGAACTTTCCCTTTGACCTTATTATCAACGCATATTTTGCTTTTCAAAACATACTTTCGATAGTCGCTGCAAACAAATTCACGTTGAATATACGTTTTCTGTCTAACATAAGCGAAATATTGCAAACAAACAATTAAATGCAATTTTTGGTAAAACAAAGTTATTTATAAGATTAAATTACTCTGTTCTAACTATTTGGGCAGAATAGTGCGTGTTAAATTTAGAATTTGAGAAATATATACATAATTAGATAATATAATAACTTTAGTTTATTACATTACAATATTTATTGGAATTTATAATTTATTACAGTATTTTTAAATTTACGTTTATCGGTTATCATAATTTTCATTAGTATATTTTTCTTGACTCTATTGAAATGTGTAATTTCAAGATAAATACAAATACGAAAAGCATGAATTGAATTATTTCGAAAAGTGAATATATCGATGCTAGTGAAAAATAATTTTCTTTCCTTTTCTTTTTATACATACGTTTTTAAGCGCTGAAATTAATCAATATATAGTTCAAGATTACGGTGATTCGAGTAATATTTGCCAACTTTTTTTATTTCAAGCAGACAGGCACAGAGTGAATTTATTATTATATTTTATCTCTTATTCATCTTTTGACCAAAGTTAAAAAGAACCATCCACTTTTATGGGTTCCCATAAGCGGAAGCTTGCGCGACTTTTTTTTTCTACGATCAACTGACCTCTTTCCCGTGATCCAAGTTCCGCTTACTCTCATTTCCTCTTTTATAACGATATCATTTTTTACGCGAGTTGTGATTTTTTAACTTTACTCGAAACCACGTCAGAACTTGGTTGCAAAACTTTCGCGTTATCTCGTTTCAATTATTTCTTGCCGAGCAATCGTTTTTCTGCGATTTCTTACTCAGAGGGGGCATAGTCACTGGTCTTGCAGAAAAATCTACTGCAATAAACGTTGCGTGCTTTTAGCGGAAATTTATTTCTGCGTGGAAAAGAAAGAGAGAGAGAGAGAGAGTAATTTAAAAGAAATTTAGTTTTGCGATAGTAACCGAATAATTTTTCTACCGATAAAACAGCGTTGGACAAATTTTTCAAAATGTTTACGTTTTTCTGTATTATGTTACAGTACAAAGGAAAAATGATCAGCGCGATAATAAACGAGTAAAAAAGTGAATGGATATATAAAATAATTACAATTAAGATAATAATTAAGTTTACTTTATATAGCTCACAAAATGAGTGGTTCGAATTTTCTACCGATAAAACAGCGTTGGACAAATTTTTCAAAATGTTTACGTTTTTCTGTATTATGTTACAGTACAAAGGAAAAATGATCAGCGCGATAATAAACGAGTAAAAAAGTGAATGGATATATAAAATAATTACAATTAAGATAATAATTAAGTTTACTTTACATAGCTCACAAAATGAGTGGTTCGAATTTTCTACCGATAAAACAGCGTTAGAAAAAAATTTTTCAAAATGTACACATTTTTCTACACTATGTTATAGCACGTTTTTACGATAGAAGTTTGACGAAAAGTTGAATGGAATGGTAGTATTTTCAAAGCGAGTGTCGCAAGTTGAATACAAAATACAGGAGGTTGAAGCGGGCTTTATTGATTTTAGAGAGGCAAGGTCTGCTGGCTTACACTCGGTAATTCCTGCTTTCCCCTTCGTCAAGTTTTCGAGAAGGGTCACCCCATAATTTGAATTTGCGACACTCCTTTATGCCTCTCCGAGTGAATTTCGAGTTTGGTATATTTGCCCGGCCATATGACTCGTTCCTGCGTGCTCGTGAATGCAACCATTCTGTTCGATCTTTTTCATTGAAAATTTCTCGTCGATTGTTCCACTTTTCTAATACACGTTCCGTCGTATTTTTAACGTTGCATGCAGTTGTTTACGTTCGTTGTAATATTTCTGACATAATATCGCAGAATAATATCATTATTTTTCTTACTATAGTTAGCTTATTTTTCAACCAGTCAGCTGTTGCGACCCCTTTGGAAAGTGTGTACCTGAAATGTGTCGCCAAAAGTAAGCGACGACGAGTATACTCGTCAAACACGAAATACTGCCAGTTTCATCATGACGAGTATACTCGTGAAAAACAGCTAACTGATGAAGAGATGTTATTTAATAATTTGAATCCCAATGTTAGCGTAGAAATGCTCTGTAGGGTTCACAGCAGGGCTTTGCAGAGGAGTTGGTAGCGTACGAGGCATATATACAGGGTGTCTCATTTATAACGAACGTCTAAATTATTTCCACTGCTGTTGAAAGTAAGAAAAAGTTATTAAAAGAAGTGTATACATTTCAAGAACACATTCTTTCAATACATTGTACGTGCTTCTTCACTTTCTGTCACAATTTGCAGTCTTTTATTAACTACATTTCCAAGCGTACTACTTTTTTTCTCTTTTTTGTAAAGAAGGAGAAGATGGAAAGATGTGCAATAAAGCGATAAGAAATAGATAAAGAGGATACAGTAGATGATAATAAAAGAAATCAGTTGGGGGAGTGAAGCAAAGAGGAATGAAATACCGAATGAACGAGGCGATTGTGAATGGATTAACTTAGCCAGTTACATTAAGATAAATGTGAACCAAGCCTAAATTTCTTGGCTGTGAGGCTGCAATAAAGAATACACGTACTTTCTTCATACAGTTTCCGAGAATAATTCTTCGTTACGAGCGGTTACTGAAACGCGACACCTTTCGTGGAAAAAAAAAAAAAACAATGTCGAGCCATCAGCTCAAATATTTGCCATTTGATTAACCACACTTTGTATATTGAAACAATCTGACGACTTACATCACACTCTTTTTTCTTTCCTTCGTTCTTCGAGATAAACAATATCACTCTACTTTGCACATAACCTATCATTTTTGAACATTATCATTCTGCATAAAAAGTTTCAATAATACTTATCTGAGAAACGTGATTTTCTGCTCGTGATATGTGCGTCTTACGAAAAATCATAAAAAAAATATGATGTACGATAAAAAATAAAAAATGATTTCGAGATTTAATCTGTCGCGAAGATTAAAAATATTGTTGTCACGCGTACGGCAAGTAATGAAACGGCAGTCGAACTGGTTTTAACATGTTGAATGAATTTTGTGATAAGTGAACCAACCGTAAGTTAGATAAGATTGTGGTTAGGTTTTAACACGGTGTTTATATGTTGCGCCAGCTTGCCATTTACGCAGATGTACAATAACGAAATACAATTCTGAAACATGATCGCAGTGAAGTCAGACAATGCTAATAGAAATGGTTCTCCCTTTTAAACCGCGTTCCAACTACGCGACGCAGTGGTCGGATAGTATAGTAACGTTGTTGTTGTAGTTCGTGTTAGGCTACTTTTGTTGCTTACCTGTAACGCGATCAGCAAGGGAGAATTATTCCTTTTAACACTGTCTGACGAGATTACAAGAATATTTTAGAATAGAATTTCTTTATTGTGCAATAGATCCCTAATTTTTCCTAAATTTAATTGAGGCACACAGTATATCCATAAAGCTAGTCTCCTTAACGTTTATGCTCGTGTCTCACGTGAACAACTAATCGTCCAATAAGTGTGATTTTTTAAAATTAAAGTTTTTTTAAAAGAATATTTTTTGAAAATTAAATTAAATTAATAAGTTAAAATTTTTTTCCATTTTCCATATTGCCTTTTCTTTTCTATTATGGCAAAAAAAGTAAGTCACCGTGTTATAAATAATGGGAAACTTATTTCTATACGGAATAATTCACTTATTTCTAATTAAACTTATTTCTAGGAAATAATTAAAAAAAAATGAAATTTATCTTATTTGGCATATCAGATTGAGGAAAATGTGAGCGTTAAGGGGCTAATGGCTGCACGGCATACAGGATTTCAATAATTCCAAACTTTCTTACTTGCAGTTGTTCTTTGCAGGAAAGTAAAAAGTACTAAAATGGTAGATTACTTAGGGTAGATTGATAGGTGACGAGATCAAACATTTCATTGTTGATATATCTGAATGGATAATAAGAAAAAAAGGAAAAGAAAAGCTTTGAAACAACGTTCAAAGATAATGTTTGAGAATTTTTTTTCCCAATAAAATATTATTATAGAATAATGTGCAATATAATAATTCTTTTTTTCTTTATAAGTTCATGAATTTAATTTTATTCGTTATTTCATTTTATTTACTTCAATCTTGTGCAATACAACAAATTCTTTTGTGAACCAGTTCGGTTAGCCTCTCTCTAACCTAACCTTATTTACAAAGATGAAAGTAACGTTTGTAAGATTTTGCTGAATTTCCTGTTGTAGGTAATATGGAAGAGTACGCGTCACTTCCGTCAAATCGAGGTTAGCGAGGAAAACGGCAATCTGTAAAAACCGGTAAGTACATCACTTAACTTCACGAAGAATGCAAAACTGCCGGGACTATGTGAATTCTCAGTATGTACGTAGACATTGCTCGAGAACTGTGTTTATAACGTAAAGACCAAAGCTAGCCAGAATAATCTGAATTTATCGATCGTCTTTTAGTTGCCAACTTGGCAACGGCAAACTCCCGGAATTACGAATGTTCTACATAGTAAAACGGTTGGTAAATTAGGTCTGCTTTTATACCTTCGCAAGGGAGCTTGTACCAAATTTCACTTCCCATCTTCCATGTCAGATGTTTTATGCTTAAACTCATTCTCTCTTTCTCAAGAATTAACCACGATTAACGTTTACCTTATCATACGTGAATATTAATCGTTTTAGGTTATGTTACTATTTACGTAGTAATTTTTTCTCAGTTAAAATTATTTTGCTTCACTACTGACTTTAACGAACATTTGAACAATTTTCGTGTCGCTGTATTGTTCAATGCATTATTTAATTATTATACGTATTAAATATTACTTATTCTCATAAACTTAATATTACGTGTTGGATAAATATGAAAGTATACGTTACTTCTTTCTCTTGGATATAATTAGTACTTTTCTCTTTTATTATACTTACGTATTTCTGGATTAATTTAATTAGCGGAAGTACCTGTGTTTTTCTTTTCAACATTTAAGATACTTTTTGCGTAAGTTTATTTTAATTTTGAATATTTCAGTATTTTACCTTTCTAAAAGTATATTTTGAAACGCATAATATCAGGTCCATGTTACACATTTTACTATAATAAATGAAAAATGAGATAATTACCATCAATACGAAATTGACTTATTTTTTTAAATTTCTGCTCATAATTATAAATATGCATAATCTTTCTTGAACATGTTTTCGTACATAAAATATTTTATAAAAAGATCTTCTCCAGTAAATAATAGCAGCTTCTTCTGTTTTTCTTTAAAAAACGATGCATAACACATTTTTCAAGTTAATTTATTTTTAAGCGAAGATGTTTTTCCATTTTCTTTCTTAAAAATAAAACCATTGCGATTTCACAATTTGGTTAGTATTGTGGGTCATTTACCTCCGTAACGTGACTCTTGCTTATAAAAATAGTTACGGTCGTAGGTGATGCATACGTAATGCTTAAACAGAATGACTCGACATTTGATTCATCACAGTATGTATTACTACTTGTAAAAAATGCGACATTTGCTCTAGAGAATAATAAATACTGCACTTTTTATGAAACAATTTTTCCAACAAATTTTAATAATTTCAACAATTTTTAGTGAATCTGTTTGTGCAATTTTTAGGAAAATCAAATTAGACAAGGATTAACATCAATAGTATATACCTTGCGTGTATCACATGCATAAAGGTAGCTATTAAATATTTCTGATCGATATAGTATATGTCTGATCGATTATAAAAATCGAAATGTATTCAAGCAAATTATCGCTTGACGTGTAGGAGATTCTTCTGATTTTCCATTTGTTGTGCGTATAAACGATGAAAATTACATACATAAGTCGGTAAGTTTCTGTGATTTGAGATGTGGTAATTAATTCAGGAAAGTACAGAGAAAGGACGTGGATAGCGCTTTCCTTCACCGAAGGCTAAACAGATTTGATCAACTAATTCTCAACTCGCTAATGAACCGTGTATTCGTTATAATGCGGATTATTGTATGGTACCTCTGATAAACATTAATAACCGTTAACGACCCTAATTAATAATACGTAAGGACGAGAGATGTATCGAGCTGTAGTTGTATAATTGTTAGTGCTCTACGTGTGTTCCACGTAACTTGATAATTGCCCGTGCAAATTTTATGGTTTTCTAATAAGTTCGAAATTGTTCGAAAAATAATTATTTTCGAAATAATTTGGGAAATTATTAGTATTGCGAAAAAGCTCTATAAATTATTTTCAAATTTGTTATTTTGAAAATAATTGTGAATATTCTTTTGAGATTTGATATTTTGAAAATAATTTGGGAAATTTTTAGTATTGCGAAAAAGTTCCATAAATTATTTTCAAATTTGTTATTTTGAAAATAATTTGGAATATTCTTTTGAGATTGGATATTTTGAAAATAATTTGGGAAATTATTAGTATTGCGAAAAAGTTCCATAAATTATTTTCAAATTTGTTATTTTGAAAATAATTTTGAATATTCTTTTGAGATTGGATATTTTGAAAATAATTTGGGAAATTATTAGTATTGCGAAAAAGTTTCGTAAATTATTTTCCAGTATGTTATTTTGAAAATAATTTCGAGATTAGTTATTTTGGATATAATTTGAAAAATTATTTTGAAAATTATTTCGAGATTTGTTATTTCGAAAATAGTTTCGAAAGCTATTTCGAGACTTGTCAATTTGACAGTAATTTCGAAATTTGTTATTATATCCCTTTCTAGCAGCCGCATTGTAATAATATTAGTATTGATTGAAGTATTACTGATTTTGCGCGAAATAAGGTATCAGAAATTAACTAAAAAAATATAATTGCTGACATCACTGCAAAAAGTGAAAATTCAAATGTTCGTTTTTCGTGGCAGTTAAATGTTTATACCTACACTATTTGCAATTAATTTTTCGAATTTGTTTCTATAAACAAGTATTATAATATAAAATATGACTATGATTGTTTCATGAAAACCGGGGAATATATAGAACTGTTTTATTTTTCAACGCACCGTGGATCGAGAGTAAAGTAACAAAAATCAAAATTTTCGAAACCAGATTTCATGTTCCCTTCCTTTGTTTTCTCTGTAATTTTGTGAAATATCATTGTGCAAGAAAAGTCACTTCGTCAAACGTCTCACGTTCAATTTATTAAAATTCGCAAATTGAAGTTTGTAACGAAGCGTATTAATTATGAGAACACCTATGATTTTATCACAATCGCAGTATATTTGCTATCATTCAGATATCTCGTTGTACAACAAACTTTTTGCAATACATCAGCAGTCGTAAATCTGTCGAAAGATAAAGGTCGAATTATTTCACAGAATAATTCATAATAGTTCGAATCGTTTCAGTAATGTAACAAGCATTATTCCAAGATTAAAGGTAAACTCACGTGTAACTCTGTTTTTCTACGCATTTCCATCGTTTCAATACATCACCCTTTATTCCTCCAATAAATGGTCCATTTATTTATCAGCGTTTACCTTTATTTTTAATTTCACCGTGATACGTTTATCGGGAATAACATTGACGTCGTATTGTACGATACATTTTACTCAGGGTTAAAATTGATATGTTTCTGTCTCTTAGTGACACCCGGGCCAAAGTGTATTTTTGGGGAAAAATGTGTTCGCGGTCATAGGTTAATAATATCCGTTCTGTAGTTACACACCTCTTTGTCGCGATTCTATTTTTACAATTTTCATTATTACGCCTTTGCAATTTCGAAGGCGATAGTGGGTGGAAAAATGTTCCGAGTATTTTTTTTTTTCTTCTTCTGTTCCGGTGTAACGATCACGCTAATGTTTCAAACACGTTTCTATACAGGACGCGCAGAGGACCGTGATCAAATCAGCTCGTTTACGTCTATAGGTCTCGACCGTTGAGTCGCTCTAACGAGCGTTAATTACAGTGAAGACGATACAATATAGCAGGACGGAAATGCCGCAATACATCGTACAGCTACGAGTTCCAAGCTGAGCTTCAACACGATCATAGCACGCGTTACACAATATCGACAGTTTGTTCGGACGCTCGCACGCGGTGTGTGTGCAACGGAAATCCAAGTCGGTAGCTATTGTGCTTACGCGTGCTCCCCTAGTTCCATGAAAATAAACAACTGTTTGGAATCGTTGAAGGTACAATTGTGATGAAAGCCGCTCAGCGAGTCGTACGTTTCCAACGCAGTTTACCATTATATTTGAAAATTTAGACTTGTCGGTGTTTGAATCGAGTTCAGTAATTTACTGAATTTTGGTAAACGTTCGAGTTATGCTTGTTGGTAAATTTGAATATACGAAACATTTGAAAATAAAAGTTTTATGTTTCTAATTTTACACAGTGATATATCGATTTCAATCGGTTACTAATTACACCGTGTTTCCTTAATGCGTTGCTTTGGAAATGGAATTTCTCGTTAGATTTGAAAATTTTGGCGCTTTGGGTAAGACGGGTTAAATAATTTACCGAATTTTAGCGGATGTTTGTGTTGTTTGTTTACAAATTGAAATACATAAATATTCTGAAGGTAAAATTTTTATATTGCTAATTTTACGCAGTAATATATTGATTTTAATGGGTTACTAATTACACCCAGTTTCCTTAACGTCTTGCTTTCGAGGTGGGGTTTCTCATTAGATTTGAAAAATTTAGACGTGTTGGTCGAGACGAATTGCATAAGTTACTAAATTTTAGTAAACGTTTGAATTATGCTTGTCGATAAATTTCAATATATGAAACACCTGAAACACATGTTATGTTTCTAATTTCAATGCGTTGATTTTAAATTACACCGGTTTCCTTTAATAATTAATTTCCAGTGCTGCATTGCTTTGGAGATGGAATTTCCCTTTAGATTTGAAAATTTGGACGCTTTGACTGAATAATTTATGTTGAATTTTTGTGAACGTTTGCGGTTTATTTATTGACAAATGTAAATATACGACAAATCTGGAAATGAAATTTTTACGTTTCCAATTTCAATCCAATTCCAAGCGGCACTATATTGGTTTTAAGAGGTTACTAATTAGGTTCCTAATTACACCGGTTTCCTTTAAGAATTAATTTCCAGTGTATTGCTTTGGAGATGGGATTTCTCGTTAGATTTGAAAATTTGAACGCTTGGGTTAGAACGAATAAAATAATTTGCTGAATTTTAGCGAATGTTTGTGCTATGTTTACTTTTACAAATTTAAATATACAAAAAGTCCGAAATAAAATTTTTATATTTCTAATTTTACAAATTT